TAAGATTATACCATGCCTTGGTGAGACACATGAAAATATTTCCTTATTTCCTTGGGGTTTTATGCCCTACTCAGGAGGGAAAAGATTAACACAGAGATTAATGTAGTAGAATATAATTTTTTACTTAGTTACTCCACACTGCAGTCAGGTGCCTGGGAACAGAAAACAAAGATATTAATCCAGAGCCAAAAGTATCTTCTAAACTGAGCCACCCAACCTCAGGCATGGCCAGACCAAGTAGGGAAAGAGACGGATACAGCCAGAGACATTTTCTTTTACTTTTTCTTAGAGAAAAGGGAATAATGTAATTAGATTATTTTGTCCAAAGGGATTCACATTCATATTCTCCTCAAAGCAATTTTATTACCTCTGCATACAGGTTTCATAATAACCAACAGAGGGGAAAGGAAAGGCACCAGAAAAGTTCCAGGTCCAAAACAGTCACAACTGGATAACATAAGGGCTCTTTATGTCATTCCATAGATTCTGCTAATGGTTGGAAAGGAAAAAAAAAAAAAGTGAAAGACTCTTAAAAAAAAGTTTAAAAATTTGAGGCAGAAGGGTACACTTAAAATTTCCAGCCATGAGCAGTCCAGTTCAGTTTTACTTTCAGCCTGAAATTATCCGAGACCTTATCTCATTTATATGGTAATAACTTGTCTCCTGTCGGCTGCAGGAGCAGCGAGCGCAGCGCCGGGAGGGCTCGGGGCTCCGCTCCGGGAGGGCTCGGGCCGCGTTCCGTGAGGGCTCCGGTCCCGCTCCGTGAGGGCTCGGGCCCCGCCGCGCTCCCAGCGCCGCCCGAATCGGCAACGAGCGCGGTCTCTGGGCTCTCGGTACCCCGCAAATCGGGGGAATTCTCCTCGCTATGCGCCCAAGGCAGCTCTCCTCTGGCTGCTGCTCACGCTCGGAGTGAAAACGTTCCCATAGATAACTGCCCAAGGAAGAGGAGGCTTGCTGCGACAGTACTGCTCAATAAGGAGCAGCAAAACTCATGGCAAGGTTCAGAAATTATTTCTGGATGATTATTACAGCCATAAAGCTGTGTTTTCTTTAAAGTTCTAATTAAATCTAGACAAAGTGGGAAAAATAAGTCAAAAGAGATCTGGACATTAGTGAGAGGTAAAGGCTTTGGTCTTTTGCAATTTCAATGGTAATTACTAAGGGATGCCTTATCCCCCCTCTCCACAGCAGAGGAGGAACACAGAGACCTCTAGATTCCAACTAACCCTATTGTTCTCAGATAAAATAATTTACTATTAGACAGGTAGCAAACTAGCAAACATCAAGACAGAACAAGGAGCTGGAATAAAAGAAGTCCATACGTATAACAAACCCCTCCATCATTCTCCTTACTGACAGTTCAGCTACTCTAATAAGGTGTTTCTCAAAGAAATTTTCTATAGGTTTGCCAATAACCCATCATTCACTTTGGGTCACAACAGAACATTTCCTTTCAGCAAGTGATTTCTCATCACAAACTAGACAGGGAGTGTGGTGGTTGTATGTGCTAGAACTCTGATCACGTCACAAAGAATTGTGTTTTACCAACTGCAATCATCAAGTACAGACTTCCAGCCCACCCAGGAAAGAAAAGGTTTGGTTTAAGGTGAGGGGTTTCATCAGAGTGTATCTTTAATAAAAACCAAGCAGCATATGGTTTGCTGGCTTTGCTTTCTAAAAGGGTTCTGTGCCTCTCACTAGAAGAAAGTGTATTTTGAAGGCAATTTGGGGACAAGAAAACAACTTATGTTATTTGTGAAAAAAGAAGTCAGAAGGGAAAACCAGGCTTTGGCTTATACCTCTGTAATATTGTTACACATTATGCTGGTTTTTTTCTCTTGTAGATGAGACAGGTGGATTTGAGAAGGATCAGGTCTCTGCCCACTCTCTCATGCTCTGCAGGTTATAGGAAGGCAAAGCCTGCTCAGATCACACTGCTGATGGAGCACTGGGAGTTGTTTTAGAAACACTGACTTAAAATACTTTGCATTCAGAACAGAGAGTTTTATGTGGGATTTACTTACTGTATTTAAGGGCAACAAGCAATTTGTACTGAAATGCAATTATATACTTAGGATTGCCAATGTAAAACAAAGGATTTAACATCAATGTGTTTGAGGACTGTTATCCTTTTATACAGAGAATATTTCACACAAATGCCTTAATCCCTACCACATCATGGTGAGCCCTGAGCCCCACAGTCTGGAGTCTTTAAGATGACACTTAAGAGTTTCTGACCACCAGGAAGAGTAAGCTTTGCACCACTTAATCTCTAAAAGGGTCCCTTTAGCCACAAGTGCTTCAAATGCATGGTAAGAATGTAAAGGTAAGCAGTTCAGAAAGGGATCTGGTTTTCCTGGAAGAGAAGCTCTGCCCACCATCACAGCAATAACAAAACCCGTGTATTTCCACCCCAGCAAAATTCCAATGCCCCTAATCTCAGTCATATCATGCACCACTGGAAATGCTGGATCATGGACTGCTGTACTGGGACACAGGGAACTGAATGGCAGAGGCATAGGCAGAGGGGATTGAGATACTTCTGTGAAGTATTGGTATTAAGATGCAAACCATAAAAAGATAATTCAGATCTGGACAATCAGAAGCAGCCTTGAGAGAAATATGTGAACAGCAGTCTAAATAAATTGTTTTCCCTTAGCTGATACAAGTAGAGCTGAGTTTATAGGCACAGGTCAGGAGATTTGGCTGTTAACCCTAAACACAGAGGATTCAGTCTTGTGCCAGCTCAGGAGCCAGAGAAAGGTTTTTGATAGTGAGCTGTTGCAAGCTATGTCATCTTTTAAAAAGCAAAAATATAACATATTTTTATGGCATAAAACCTGTTATCAGTTGAGAACAACAGCATCAGTAATGAATTTTCACTATTAATAAATCCTGCCTCCAGAAAGCTTAATAAATATTTCATTGTGTTCCATTCTGAGAAGTAATCCAAAACAAGACTCTGAATATCTTGAGGAAATGGGAAGGAACTGTTTGAAGTGTAAGATTTTGAAATGCTAATAGCTATGAGGAAGCATTAGCACTGTTTATCTCTGATTGCACCAGGAGCAGAATATCTACAGGAGTGATTTAATGAGCAACACATCCAGTGCAGTGCTATTATATGCTTCTCAAGCATAGTAGGATAATATTCCAAAGCCACTGCAACCATGGCACTGCAGCCTTAAACAGCAGGAGAATTAGAATTTCCTCCCCCCTCAGTGAAATTCAATGGAATTCCCCTCCATCATCCAACATGGATAAATTCAAGCCTAAAATATCACACACCATGTCCACATAAATTAATCTTATATCATAGATAACATCTTGCTTCTGATACCTTCAGCACAAAACAAAAAGCCATGCACTCAGGGCAGAGCAAAAAGCCAAGACAATCCTCTGGAAAGTTTAAAAACGGGGTAAACCTCATTTGAAGTTGTAATGAACAAGCTAGTCTCTAAAGGCTTTAAATGAATATCCTCAAGCACACTAGTAAACATTTTAAATATGTATTCACAGTCCTGTTGGATTCTAATGCTCCTCTGATGAATAAAGCTGATTCTCCTTCTCAGTAAATAATTCAGTAGCAAAGAATTGCTTGGCCTGGAAAAGACATGAACAATGGGCCAAGACTTAGGATAATTGCTCTTTTCTGAGACATTTTGGCCTCAATTTTGACTTTGTGGGTAGAGGTTTCTGCAAAAGAGGCAGTCATACAAATAAAGTTTGTGTTTGTATTCACAACTGCAATTTAGTATCCATTTTTTCTGACCTTTATTCTTTATTCTGTTAGTGGAAGAAGAAAGAGTTGATGGCATGAAAAGAGAACCAGGAAACATATTTTATATAAGCTCCTGCCACAGAGGAATAATTTTCATATTCAAGGACAAAAAGTGCAGTTTTGTTCTACCTGGGGTCAGGTGCATTCATCTTGTGGTGCAGTGTTGCTGGTATTAGATACCTGGGAGTGCAAGGTACCCAGGAACTTTTATCCTTTTATCCTTTATCTAGAGCAGGATCCAGAAAGCAAAATACTATCTTTGTTTCCAAGTGGGGTCTTATGTTTATTTAATGTCAGCACAAAGATGCAGCTAAGTACTGAAGAGCAATCTGATTAGGAGTGAGGGTAACAGTAATAAAGCACTCCTAAAAAACAGGCAACTCCAGTTTCCTCCCTACTAAAGTAAGTATTTTTAAACCAGAGACTTAAAAGCAGACTAAAACCTTCCCAAGTTAATTCCATTAACTCTATGAGTCAGAACATGGTTTGTCCTAAAACACCTGATCTAAACCCCATGGGAACCTTTTGGATCAGATCAAAAGGGACAAACAAAATGTATTCATTTTTGATATTAAAAAATGCAGGAATTTGAGCCACACATATTCTAAATATTGCTTTTGTGAGATAGTTATGTAGATCAAGGAGAGACTACAGTGAATCTGAAACAGTCACAAGGCAGAAACCTTTTGGTAAGCACCTGAGCCTTCCTTTTCAAGAAGCAAAATTCCAACCCAACAAGCTTCTCTGAAAATTTGAGATATTCACAGGCATTGGCAAACTATTAGCTCAAGATCCTGCAAAGTCCTAAAGCCAGCCTGGGAGACCCACTGCTTAGATTAAAAAAAAACACAAAAAGAGGAGGGTTAAAATAGAAATGAGATGGACAGAGGCATGTTAAAAGACTAAAACTTCTAGCAGCCAGTTTGGAGCTCTGCTTTAAATCTTCCCAATAAAATAAAGCTTTGTGTACCTCTAAAGTTAGGAGTAAGCCAAAAGACTAGATATACCAGAGCCTCACCTCATTCATCTCACTTTTTTTTTTCAAGTTTAAGTGTGTTTGGCTTGTTTCTAGAGAACTTCAGGAAAAGCCTTATTTCTATAGAGTATTTTACACAAATAACAAAAAGCAAACAAAAATTCTTTTTGTATTATTTCACAAAGACTCCTCCTGATAAGTCAGAAAACTAAACATAAACAAAATTACATATGTAAAACTGACCTTTTCTGTTTTGAACTTTATCCATGGAAGTCAGCTTAGCTGCATGAACAAATCTTCCTGGGCGACTCCCTTCTGACTGTGATCTTGGCACTAGAAACAAGGAGTGACACAACAAAATGCTTCAATCTGGAGACATAATGCTAGCATCTTAAAGTCTAAACCAGATCAGTTCACAAGCTATAAGTGCAAAACAACCTTTAGAAAAAAAGAAAATCAGAGCAGCAATCACTAGGCAGTGTCTTTTTGTGAAAGAGTTTTGCACAGAGACTGAGTGCAGTTGCTCACAGCTGCTGCATTTTGTGTATCCTCAGTTAAATCCCAGGAGTATCAGCCATCTGTGAAGCCCCCTCTGACAACTTCTGTCCCTGACATTTCCCCTTCATCCCAGCCCCACATCACACCAGCAGCAAGGTGGGTCATGCCTGTCTCGGGGACTGGCGTTTGCTCCAGACCAGAACTATCAATTCTGCCCTGCAAACTGCATTGAAGTGCATCCCCTCAGGTTTCCCCTGCACAGAGCAGACTCACAGAGCCAGAGGCACCCAGCAGAGCTGGGGCTGCAGGAGGGCAGCCCTTCTCACCAGCTGCACCTTCATCCTGGCTCCTCCTCAGCAGCCTCCTGCTTTCATGGGTCCTGTCCCTGCCAGGATGCCATGAAGGGCTGCTCCCTCCAGCCCTAGGGTGAGCCAGTTTTGCATCTACTGAGAGTGTTCCTGCAGGCAGCAGCTACTGGGGAGCAGAACATGGACATGGGGACAAGGACAGAGGGGAGAGCAACGCAAAAAAGGTGTTCCATGCTCAAACCACAAAATGCTTTCAAGCGTTTTCTTGGTTAACACTCTTATTAAATAATAGCTGTACAGCAACTCACACGCTTTTGGTTTTGGTTTTGGTTTTTTGTTTTGGTTGGGTTTTTTTTTTTCCCATACTGTTTGATGTTGTATTTTACTTAAGCTGTGCCACCCGAAATGCTGGCTGTTCAGCTGGACCTTCCTTGTGTGTTAGGAGTAAAGGACAGACTGACAGACATGGTGTTGGGATACCACAAGCACATGTCCTATGTATTTTTATAAGTGAACAGGCTCAGAAAGATTTTTTTTCTTTGAGAGGACCAGCATTTCTGCAAAATTTCCTACTGGAACTTCTTACACAAAATAGAGAGAAATCCCATCTGGATACTGCACACAAGAGCTCACATCAAGAGAGAGGCGTGGAGGGGCTTAGGGAGGTGATCAGAGGAGCATTTTCTCATGACAGAAGGCTGGAAATCTTGTCTTGCACAATAAAACACAGACTTATAGAAGAGAAAATTGCAGTCTGTAAAGCATCCAAGAACTAACTACCATGAGAGGAAAAGATTGTTTAATTTAATAGAGATATTTAGATAAAGGTATTGTATAAAAACTTACCCAAATCACATCCATCCTATAAACTAGAAGAATAATTCTAGCTCTTAGGAGGATGAAGCTGGGGAACTCTCTTCCCAAAAGTTATATTTTACAAAAAAGAAAATGAAGCCCCCAAATTCATACACAAGGTTTGTGTCAGAGAAGGGAATCAGATACTGTAGACTTAAATGCCAGGCCAGGTTCCTAAAACAAAATCAATGCTCTTATCAGTGAGGGTCAAATGTGTTGAAAAGAGGGTTTGCTGGGCCAAATTTTGCAATCCAATGTAGGTGAAGTTAGTAAACAAAACAAATGCGAAAAAACAGATTAGATTTTTCTAGTGTTAATAAACTGTTAATAAATAATAAAGAAATTTTAATGGTAAATCAGTACCATTGATTAATCTTCAGAGTGATTAGAAAAATATTTTCCTCTGAGGAAAATATTTACATTTCTGACACAGAGCATTACCTTAGGATGCTACAGAATTAAAAATCAAAAAGGTTTTGGGCAGTATTTTCCTTCTTTTCCTTCTTTTGCATGGCAAAGAAAACAATTTATTGATAACTCAGTGTATATGTTCTCCTGGGTTGTTTTTTTTTCCTTTTAAATTTAATGATTGAAATTATCAATACAGTCATGTCCTCAGGGAATGACATCCATGATTGTAAATTTCAGTTACAAACAAGAAGGCTTAGACACTTCTCTTTTTCTGAGCTCCTTTTGATTTGGGATTATCACCGGAGTGTAATCTAATTTTTTTCCTCACATAGTGCTTGTCAATGTGTAGACCTGCATTTTTCTTTCTCAGTGCCAGAAGAGATCAATGAGAAGTTCTATTCTAGGATTCCCAAGGGTGTTTCTCTTATCAGTTTCATTACCAGGCCTATTTTATGTCAAGCCCTATACACTACTTGCTTCATCAGATTTTCTCTAAACTCTAATTCCAGTACCAAAATCCCACATTTTCCAGATAATCCTCAGATGCTCACTTTATGCAAACAGGGAGATGTATTTGCTGTTGAGGAGTAAAAGTGGTGTTTGTTTGGTTCCTCAGGTCCCCATTGCCTCCCCCCAGCCTGGGAGCAGGGACTGTGTTACTGCTACAAACATGTTGTCACCATCTCCAGCAGGGAAACGGTGACACGGGGTCAGGCACTCTCCTCGCTGCTCACAAGGATGTGCATCGCCTGTCTTGGGAACCTGGATTTCCAAACAGTATTAAAAATGCAGTCCCAACCTTCCTTCCCCCTTGGCCTTACATGAGGCAGAATCTCGGATTTTGGGCAGCCCTACTTTGTAAAATGTTTAGTTTCTGATCACACTTGAGTTAGAAAATCACCTTTGGTAAGACAAGCGACTCAGTGCTCTCATCTTGAACTCCTACCGCTGGAACCAGAGGGAACTCAATTTATCCAGTCAACATGCCGGACAAGACTTGAAAGAGAAACAGGAGGACATGTAGGAATCTTTTACAGGAAAGGTTGGGCTCAACCACACTATTTACATTCCTGCTTCTCTGCAGGCATTTCTGTTCTCTGGCAATTTCTTTCTGCAACATTTCCTTCCTTTCATAGGAGCTTGGTCTGAATTATGCCATCTTACCAGTTTTTCTCTGTTGTTTCTAACAACAAACCCCTTCATTTTCCTATTTTCCACTGAAATTGAAAGACCAGTTTCTCACATGCAGTCAGTGGGATTGGAATGGAATTTCCCCAAAGCAATGCAATCTTAAACAAAGATATGCAGGGATGCAGAGGTGAAGGTTATTCCTTTCTTAAGAGTCGATGTGTTCTCCTGTTTCCCTGGGGAGAGACAACTTTCCTCTCTCCACTTGTCTATCAAAGTGCTGCCATTAACACCCAAATGTCTTGGTTCATCCCCTGTGAGCTCCAAAGAGTTAATAACCACAGCAGTTTTGCAGAGAAAGCAGCTGAGAAGAAATACACCAGCAAAATGTAAGGGTTTATTTATTGGTGTCAGCCATGGAAACATTCCTATAGGACTTTCACAGCACCTCCCTGCATCACTGTAAACATACACAGTTTACACTCATTTCTGCCTAAATATCTTCAGAGAGCTGGGGCAGAAAGCTTTAAGCATGACTTGCAGTAATTCTTAGGTGATTTGGGGCATTTCCTGATACAGCAATGCTGAATTGGACTTTCCAAATCAACATGTGGCACTGCCAGGCATCTTTGCATGCTGTACTGCTTGATCCCAGCACAGGACAGAAGCTACTGGGGACTGCTTGGGGCCTCCCATGCAGAAGCTGAAGCATCTTCTAGAGAAACAGACTGCCCTGGGAGGCACAGGACTTGTGTGTGTGTGTGTGTGTGTGTGTGCGTGTGTGTGTGTGTGTGTGTGTGTGTGTGTGTGTGTGTGATGGCAGATGGCAGGAGGCACAGCAGGAGTTCCTGCCAAGGCACCAAGGTGAGGAAGAGCCCCACATCCTCTGCCAGCCCCTGATCCCACAGGCTGTGAAGGCACACGGTGCTGTTCTCACAGGTGCACTGTGCAAATGTAGGCAAACTTCACATTTCTGCCTGCAAAACTCGGTGTGATGCTGGTGCAGGGCCACAGAGGCAGAGCTCCCCTGCTCAGGTGAACTGAGAATTAAGTGCTGTGCTGGGAGCTGCCACTGGGCACGCTGAGCTGTCACTCTTCAAAGGGCTTGGTTGTGTAAGTGGACCAAGGGAATCACTAAAGCACAGACAATGAAAACAATTTTAAATGAGAGACTAAATGTAAGGAAAAAAGTTGTCAAAATGTCAAGGTTAATGTTTTCATAAAACTAACCTGGGAATGGCTAGACAGTGTAAGTGTAAACCTTAATTAAAACTTTTAAAGTGTGAATACAATACTACCTTTGGTCTAGACAGTCAATAAATCTATCCTCCTTAATGAAATACTGGTCCTTTTGGTATTTCTGGTCAATTTTTGTCCTCATCTTTGCAACTATGTGTAACATTAATACTCAGATCCCTGTCTATCAAAACCAGAGGAGCCATGCAGAGCAGCACAACAGCCTTCTGCTTGGCTCCAGCTCCATGTTCTCCTGTACCCCTGGCTGGGCCAGTGCTTCTGGCTGTAGCTCTGGGATGGGCAGCAGTGTCTGAACACACACAGCCAGCTGGGCAGTGATACATCTCTGCCCCAATCCCTTTGCTGGACCACAGTGGTCTCTGCAGAGGATGTCAGGGGCAGCTTCCTCTGTCTGCACAGCACCTGGGATCTTGAGGCAGTCTGCAGGAAAAGCATTTCTATGTCTTACAGCCTGGCACTGCTGATTGGATAGCCAGAGATGGCAGAAATGCAATCTGCAGTGCCTCTGAGAAAGCCTGACCCCAGCACATCTCCAGCAGATTTTAAGAGATCACCCCGAAGAGCTCTGGGATCTTGTTTTCTTGCATTTTGTTGTTAGTGGGCATCACCATCCAGAGTTATAGTTCTCTATAAATTATTGTTCAATGTTCTTGAAATAAAATTACATTTTAATTGATTTTAAGAAATTAAAGAGAAATAGTAAAACTTCACATGATATCAAATTGTTTGGTTATTACTGGCTTAGTGCATACCATATTTTATATACTATAGCTCTACATGAATTTTATAAAGAACGTGTGTGCTATCTGAAGACATGGAGAGCAGTTGTTCTTTCTTTCTTCTTTCCTTTTAATTGTTGTTCATACCTGTGTGCAC